AACTAACACCAATATTTCTCAAACTCTTCAAAACAAACAAAACGGTGGGAATACTTCCAAGCTAATTTTATGAAGCCAGCATAACTCTGATGCCAAAGCCAGAGATGAGAATTATAAGAAAATTACAGGCCAGTATCCCTGAAAAATACAGATGCAAAAATCCACACTGAAATATTAGCAAACCAAAATTAATCAGACTTTAACAGAATCATTCATCATGATTAAGTAGGATTTATCTCTGGGATGCAAGGATGATTCAACATGCACAAATCAATAAATATGATAGACCACATTAATAAAATGAAAGATAAAAACTATGTGAGTATCTCAATCAATGCAGAAAAAACATTTGACAAAATTTAACACCCTTCATGATAAAATCCCTCAACCAATTAAGCATAGAGGGAATGTACCTCAATACAATAAAGGCCATATATGACAAACCTATAGCTAACATCATACTTAATTGTGAAAAGTTGAAATCTTTTCCTCTAAGATCAGATTAACAATCAAGAATGTGCACTCTCAACCACTTGTTTTCATCATAGTACTGGAAGTCCTAGCCAGAGCCATTAAGCAAGAGAAAGAAATAAGAAGAATATTAGTAGCAAACAAGTACAATTGTCTTTATTTGCTGATGACATGATCTCATCTATAGAATACTCTAAAAACTCCACCAAAAAACTGTTAGAAGTGATAAATGAATTTAGTAAAGTTGTAGAATATAAAATCAACATATAAAAATCATTAGTGTTTCCATGTACTGATAATGAACTATCTGCAGAAAGGGAAATTAACAAAGCAAGCCAACTTACCATAGCAGCAAAAAAAGTAAAATAGTTGGATATAAATTTAACCAAGAAAGTAAAAGACCTATATACTGAAAATTATTTAAAATATTGACAAAAGAAATGGAAGAAAACATAAATAAATATAAAGGTGTCCTGCGTTTATAGATTGGAAGAATTAATATTGAGAAAATGTCCTTACTACTCAAAGTGATCTACGCATTCAATGCAAACCCTATCAAAATGTCATTATTTTTTACAGGAATACAAAAAGAAAACTGTCCTTAAATTCGCATGAAATCACAAAAGACCCCAAATAACCAAAACGACCTTGAGAAAAAAAAAAAAAAAAAGAAAGAAAAAAAAGAAAAGAAAAAGCTAGATGTTCCACATTCCCTGACTTCAAAATATATTACAAACCACTTAAACCAAAACAGCATGGCACTGGCATAAAAACAAACACATCAACAAATGGAATAGGATAGAAAGCTCAGAAAGAAACCCACACATTTATGGTTAATAAATTTAAAAATAAAGATGCCAAGAATAAGCATGCAATGGGGAAAGGATAATCTCTCCAATAAATGATGTTAGGAAAACTGGTTATCTACAGGGAAAAGAATGAAATTGTATCTCATGCCACATACAATCAATCAACTCAAAATGCATTAAGGAATTAAACACAAGATCTAAAATTGTAAAACTCCTAAAAGAAAACATAGTGGGTAAGCCCTACAGTATTGTAATAGGCAAATATTTTTTTTGGATATGACTCTGAAAGCACAGGCAACTAAAACAAAAATAGACAAATGATATAGTGTAAAACTGAAAATCTTCTGTGTAGCAAAGAAAACAATTAATGGAGTGAAGAGACAATCCACCAAATGGGGAAAATATTTACAAGCCATACATCTGATAAGGAGTTAACATCAAGAAATATAAGGAGCTCAAACGCTGCAACAGCAAGAAAACAAGTAGCCCGTTTTAAAAATAGGCAAAAGATCTGAAAAAATATTTCTCAAAAGAAATCATGCAAATGGCCAACAGCTATATAAAAAATGCTGGGTATCACTAATCATCAGAGAAATACAAATTGAAACCACAATGATATATCACCTCGCATGTGGCTTTTATCAAAAAATTAATCTGTTTTACATTGTTGGTGGAAATGTAAATTACTACAGCCATTATGGGAAACTCTATGAAGGCTCATCAAAGAAACTAAAAATAGAACTTCCATATGATTCAGCAATCCCAGTTTTGGGTACATATCCAAAGAGATTGAAATCAATATGGCAAAGGGATATCTATGCTCCTAGGATTACTGCAGCACTATTCACAATAGCCAAGATATGGAATCAATCTCAGTGTCCATCAACAGATGAATAGACAAAGAAAATGTGATACATGTACACAATGAAATACTATTCTGTATTTATGAAAGAAAATTCCATCATTTGGGACAACATGAACGAACTTGGAAGACTATGCTAAATGAAATAAGCCAAGCACAGAAAGACAAATCCTGCATGATCTCACTCATATGTAGAACCTTAAAAAGTTGAACTCATAGAAATAGAGAGTAGAATAATGATTGCCAGAGGCTTGGTTGGTGTGGAGAAGAGGGTGAATGGGGAGATGTTGGTCAAAGAATACAAAGTTTCAGATAGGAGGAATAAACTTTCAGACATATTTCATAGCAGGATGATTATAGCCAATAATATTGTATTGCACATTTCAAAATAACTAAGAATGCAAGTTTCAAAAGCCTGGCCACAAAAAATAAATAAGCAAGGTGAGGGATGTGTTAATTAGCTTAGTTATTCACTCCACATTGTATACATATATCAAAACATCACATCATACCTTGTAAATGTACATAATTATGATTTGTTAATTAAAAATAATTTTAAAATAAAGAAGTTGAAATAAGTTTTAAAAGCAATCTGCAAGGCTGTTTTTTGATTTGCCAATTAAAAATATTGTGGAATGTTCCACAGACTCCAAGCCCAGGGATTTATTTCAGTTGGATACTCTACATCTGATGGGTGTATCCCTGCTCAGCAGTTTTATTTGAATTCCATAAAGCCATGTTTTTATTTTCTCAGCCAGTGTCAGCTTCATCTGTTCAGAGATGGGTTGTAGGTATGACTCACCCACCACCTGATAACCTAGGGTTTAGCAAGAAGGAAAAAGGCATTGGATATTTTTTTCTTGCCTAATGCCATCACTTTTAGTAATGTACTACTGTTATAAGGTCTGTGATTTCCAGGTTACTATGTGCCTGTGTATGTATGTGTATGTGTAAGTGGACACACACATTTGTGTAATTCACAAAGCCAGGACCTATCCAAATCTGTATCAGAGGTACAATTTTAATAACAGCCATTGTACACCTATTCTTAGGGTGGCTGCCTGTTCACCATTAAACACATGCTGACGTTTGTAGTCAAAGCCCCAGGGAAGTGAAACAAAGCTTCCTTTTGTGAAGGTCAAACAGTTTTAGGGTTTAGTTTATAAAAGCAATATTTTCAGAGAGCTGGCAAATATTATGTGGCTTGTGCTCACCTGAAGAGTAAAAGATTCATAGCTTTCACTTCAGGTGTACGATCATTGAAAAGTCAAACACATTTCAACTGAAATAACTGGGACAAGACTGCTTTACTGGCCTGAGAACAGCCCACCAAGACAACAAAACAGCTGCCATCCTGGATGACAGATATACTGAACCAAAAGGAAGTTTTGTTCTGGAGAGAGAACTGAAAATAATGACCAAAACTATTGGCTCTTCTTACTAACATCATTTTAGAGGTAATGAAATGAATGTTTCTGAAATTAGGATTTTATTGAGACCAGCATTCTTTCAGTGTCATATAAAACTCGAATGTGAGACCATAACACATGCCACTCATCCTCTCTGTATATTTATTTCTGTAAAGGATGTGATAACATCCGTCCTTCTATTAGCATGGAGTCTCAGGAATTAAGTAGGGAAACGTCTCCTCATACCATGGTAACTGTAGCCCCAGGAGACTCGCATTCTTAAAATTTGGGGTGCCTTAAACCATTAGATAAACATAACTCATCTTTCTGACTTTAATCAGTACCAATTTAAAGTAATATTTTTATATTAACAAACATATATATTAAGAGAGTGAATGCAAAATTGTGCATAATTTTGAAGAGAAAGTATTGGGCTTCAAATAGTTTTGCAATCGTCGGAAGTGATTTACATTCCATTCCCGGATTCCGCCACCCAAGAGACAACTGACAAGGGGCTCTGTTGGAGGAGATGGTTAGGCAGCATTTAGTCATCGGCTAGCACTTGGAAAAACTATAGAACAAGATGGAAATACGAAGTGCTTTTTTTATCGGAGTTCACATACATGTGGTTCATAGCTCAAAGTCATTGTGAAACTTGTCTTTGTTCCCTTTTTCTCTTAACACTGTACTCCTTTCCCACCATCTCACCTGTGCAAGACATCTGTCACTCAGGGCCACCTTGGATTTGTCCTAACTGTCCTTCAAGATCCTTTTGGGAATGTATTCCAGTCTCCAATATCTTTCACAAACCCCTCAAGACTTATGTCTTGGGTGCTTCCTTCCCCTTTGCAATGCCTATTGCTTTCCCAAGACAGTGAAAATGAATGAACTTTTTCTCCTACATTAGCAGATGTTAGTAGGTTTATGTCTAACCTCATGTGTAATATACCGGAATTTTGTATTTTCTGCTATTGATCAAAAGGATGTTTCTAATAATTAGAATATCAAGCTCTGTGGCTTCCCAGAGGACATGATCATTTTAGAAAGTCAGATCTCCTGAATAGGCACAGGGCCAGTTTTTGAGAAGCTCTAGACCTCAGATTCTCAAACACGCTTTTCTGCGAATAAGCCATGAAGATGATACCATAAAAACAATGAATAAATCCTTCCCTTGAGACAGACGGATTGCTTGAGATCAGTAGATCGAGACCAGCCTAGCCAACATGGTGAAACCCCATCTCTACTAAAAATATAAAAAATTAGCCAGGCGTGGTGGTGCAGGCCTGTAGTTCTAGCTACTCAGGAGGCTGAGGCAGGAGAATTGTTCGAACCTAGGAGGTGGAGGTTGCAGTGAATCAAGATCATGCCACTACACTCCGGCCTGGGCGACAGAGCAAGACCCCATCTCAAAAAATGCTCTTATATTAATTTTAGAGAATTCACTCTTACCTGGTACCAGATTACCTCTCGACTTTGTGCATCACGTTGGCAGCTGAGACTGGGGCAAGAAATGGAGCCAATACTCCCAAGAAGTAGGTCTTGCTTATGTGATGCAGAATTCTCACAGGATGCATTTGTCTGAGGCTTAACTTCTAAAATCATCTTGACACAACAGGCTACATGATAGGGACTCCTAGGAAATTAACAAGATCCTGTGAATATAGATTTTGTCTAGATAATAGAGAATTTGGGAATGTTTTCAGGTAGAAATGCATTTGGAACATACTTAATCATCTTGGGTCTACAAATATATGATCCAGCGTTATTCACCCCTGGGGTCCTAAAACGAAGGGTGTATTTTTCCTGAATGATGTGAGGATTGCTTTTTCTAATGTCCTCTAATGGATCACCATTCGAAGGTTGTCGGTACCATTGGATATCAGATAGGTCCTTACTGCCAGTGAAGGGTAGGTGCTCAGGGCCTTGTGTTGGTGAGAGTCGACTTCTGTGGCAGAAATATGATTTCTGTTGCTTTGGTAAATCACAAAATAAGACAAATTCTTCTTCACTCCTTGTAGAATATGTCCAAAGGAACTTTTTTGTGGAACAATCTGAAAATCACAATAAATAGAACAACATGGAAACATATTAGAAAACAGAACTCTAGCTTTCTGTTTAACAAGAGACCAAGCTTCCTCGTGTGCCTTTCCTCTTCACTGCCCATTTTGTAGGGGAAAGGAAGTTCATGTTTTAATTCCCTCCCAGTAGACTCCAGCATCACCAGCAGCAGCTCCAGTTTCCTAGAAAAGATGGTAGAACCCTGGCTCATCCCTCTTCAACTGCTCTCACTGAACACTCAACTACAGTAATGGGTACCTTGTCAATGCTTGGTATCAGTTGAAAGCTGTTCACCCCAATAATTCTCCTCTCACTCTCTTTTTAACGGTAGGATGGAAAGGTTGTGTATTATCATGGCATGATGCTGATATATCAGGTTATCCCTCACTTTACCTTTGACCACAGACTCACAGCGCTAACACAAAAAGTGAAAAATCCTACCTGAAATATTAAATTGTTTAATTCTTTCTCCTGCAACAAGCGAAAGAAATATCCAGCCCAAATAGAGCATTGTTCTCCTGTGTTCCTGTCATCACTCCAGTAACTTCATTCTGTTGCCAGAATAGAGTTTTGAGATGCAGAACTCTTTCTTGAGTATCCTTTTCATTTCTGTAAATGAAGAAATGGGAAATGAAGAAATCAGAGCCTGTGACCAAAGTGCAACTCAGACAGGAAACTTCGAAAGGGCAGGTCCTACCCAAACCGGCTTTCATGTGCCCATAGCTTACATGGGTATTTCCAATGGTGTGTAGCAATCTTTTCACTGCTGTCATTTCTTACAAATCACCTCAAGCTCATGATATCCCTTGGGCCTAGGCTCTATACAGAGTGTTCTTTTAATGCCATTTTCCCCTCATTAATCTTTTTTCTTTGATATGCTCACCTAGCACATACATTTCTATGAGTAATTTGGAAAGAGTTAAGTTTAACTTTTCCTGAAAAAATAACCCAAGTTGAATACAAATGTCAGGTTCTTCACAGTTAGGGAAGCTAGAGATGCATCTCCTATTGATAAAATTTGAGAAGGCTTGCACATCACTAGTCTGTACTATTAGAGAATAGGGGTCACCTGCCTTTCTGCCCCAAATACAAGAGGGAAAATTGTCACTGGATGGCATCACTATCAATCCTTTCAAATATGAAAGGCGGAGCTGGTCCCCTCCAGAGAATCATATCTAGGCTGTGTCCAAAGGACTTGTGTCCCGTTTGTTGATAGGTTAGTTATGGGACTCTTCAAACCAGTTAGGAGAAATGAAAGATAAGAATCCTGGGTGGGAAATATTTAATTATCATTTAAATGTGTTTTGAGTAGGAAGAAAAAGGATTTTGCTATAGAACAGTTTTATCTGTGTATCTTTGAGTTCTGAAGTATTATCATTAACATAAAAATAACCTGTGTATAACTCTTCAAGTTATAGGAATAAGGTAAGTTCCCCCTGAACTTTGGCTAAAGATTCCCCCTAAAACACTCCCAAACTGTCATAGGTTCTTTAAGGGTGCTGAGGGGAAAAATAAATAGTATAGTCCCTATTTTCAAGGGTCTATTACAGTATGGAGAACATCATTAAAAATGCAATTATTCTGACACTGGTTAAAACCATAGGGAAGTCTTTATTCAAGACTTTTGGGGACAAGGCATGGTGGATCGTGCCTGTAATCTCAGCACTTTGGGAGGCTGAGACGGACAGATTGTTTGAAGTCAGTAGATCGAGACCAGCCTGGCCAACGTGGTAAAACCCCATCTCTACTAAAAATACAAAATATTATCCAGGCATGGTGGTGCATGCCTGTAGTTCTAGCTACTCAGGAGGCTGAAGCAGGAGAATTGTTTGAACCCAGGAGGCGGAGGTTGCAATGAGCCAAGATCACACCACAGCACCCTGACCTGGGTGACAGAGCAAGACCCCATCTCAAAAACAAAAAAACAAAACAAACAAAAAAAAACTTTGGGGGAAAGAGATCAAACTCAATTCCCATACACCAAGGACAAAGTGCAAGGTAAAGGTCAGTGGATAGAAAATTACTGAGTGACGTAAGGACACAGGGATCCTTGCTAAACTGACCTAACAGGATTCTTGCTAAAGGCAGGTTAAGGACTTAAATATCAAGGGTGGTGAATGGGGAGCTTTATCAGACATTTAGGGCCATCAGATATCAAGAGTGCACTGATAAATTAGCAGAATTTTTTTCCAAGACTATTTGGGCAGGCCAAAGATAGGAGGGGATGACAAAACTGAGGCTGAGCCAAGAAGAAGGCTCAAGGGACCCTGACTAAATCTTGGCCAGGGAGAGAGTCTTTGTCAACATAAACGCGAAAATAAACAATCACAACAAAGTGTAAGAAAGAAATGAAGTCCAGTGATGACAGAAAAGGAAAAAAAAACAAGAGGAAAGTAAAGAAAGAATGGAGGAAGGGAAGGAGAGACGGAAGAAAGGAGAGGAAAAGGGAAGAAAGGAGAGGACGAGGAAAGGAAAAAAGCAAAGAAAGCAAGCTACCCTAAATGTTATGTGGCCTCTCTAAAAATCTTTAAGTCTCTCCACAACTTCCCTGGGTTGGTTAGTTTGTTTGTTTTGGCAGCTGACAAAATCAGTCTCTCTGTCTCTCTCTCTCTCTCTCTGTCTGTCTCTCTCTGTCTCTCTTCCCGACATCTATTTCGCCCTGAAAGTTTCTCTCTTCACTTCTTCCTGTGCTCTCTGGCCAGTTCGACAGCCACATCTCCACCACCCCCAGCTTTCCCAGGACCTTTCTTTCTTTTTTTTTTTTTTTGAGACGGAGTTTCGCTGTTGTTGCCCAGACTGGAGTGCAATGGCACGATTTCAGCTCACCGCAACCTCTGCCTCCTGGGTTCAAGCAATTCTCAATTCTCCTGCCTCAGCCTCCCGAATAGCTGGGACTACAGGCATGCACCATCATGCCCAGCTAATTTTTGTATTTTTAGTGGAGACAGGGTTTCACATTGTTGACCAGGATGGTCTCGATCCCTTGACGTCGTGATCCACCCGCCTCGGCCTCCCAAAATGCTGGGATTATAGGCATGAGCCACTGCGCCCGGCCTCCCAGGACCTTTCTTTCCAGATAGTGCCATCTTCTCTCATAAACATTTGGCTTATCTCACTTTATAACCTTCTTTACTTCCAACCATATTGCAACACACACACACACACACACACACACACACACACACACACACACTCCAATTCTTAGATACAGGAGGCGATAGTAATTTCAATAATTATAAATTAATTCTTAATAATTAATGTTTCTCGAACAAGAACTCTGAACTTGAAATATCCTGGAGATCCTTTGTAGAAGCTCTGAAGGACACACACAAAAAAATAAAAACATAAAAAGAAATATCTTGGAGATCCAACTGGAGCAATCCCAGGGCAGCAGGGTGGGGAAGGGGATGGCTCAGAGCAGGGTCTGGATTTCAGCAGCTGGAGGGTGCCTGGGGCATCTGTAACAAGCCTGGAGTGTCTGTTGCCCCACAAGGGAGGGCAGATGAACTTCCTTGAGAAACCTCAGCCTTTCAAAGTAGGTCAGAGCCAATGGAAAATAAAGAATGACACACCTAAAAGGAAGACAAGGAGCAGAGCTGAGAGACCACCTTGGCAATGCAGACAGAGAAAGCTTGGAGGAGATACTAGACACCAGTGTCAGAAGCTGCAGAGGAGTCGGACATGAGGAGGACTGAAAAGTGTCCATTAAAGTGTCTTGGTTTGGCCACCAAAAGCTCAGCATGTGCAGCTGGGGTGAGATGAGGGAGTGCTTCAGTGTGGAGAGAGAGGAGTGGAGGGAATGTGTAGTAGAGGGAAAGAGGCTGCATGATGCAGGGAAGACAGAAGGAAGTGTTTGCTCATTTCTGAGGATGAGAGAGCCTTGGGCAGGATTCCACTGTGAGGGGAATGCATCAGCAGGCCAGTGAGGTCAAATACATATGAGGGTGAGGACAGGGTGCATGGACTCCTTTCTCCCAGGAAGCCAGAAGAGATGGGGTCCCTGATACCATGGAGAGATTAATCTTAGATAGGAGGCAGGCAGAGCCATGCAGGGAGACAAGGAAGGTCTGCCCAGACCACTTTGTCTAGGTGAAGCCAGAAAGTACAGGATGCTACCACCTGGAGGCTGATGCTGACCTGGCTGTCTGCTGAGGGTGAGGCATGTTGATGGGAGAAAGAAAAGGGACTCTGTGCAATGCACCTTGCAGAACGCCAGGGATAGGGGTTAAGGTCACTGAGTTATCCCCACTGCTGGTAACTGACAGCTCTTCTTACAAGGACTGCAGTCAAGGAACAAGGCAGGATCAGCAATGGCTTTGAAGATGTGATCTTCCCACTTGCCTTTCCCTTGTCCACAAAGTCTCTGAAAGAACAGTCCTCCAGCTCCAACACCAGCCACATCTTCCTAAGAAGCAAGCCTCAGCGTTTCCTTTCCATGCCCAAACCGTCACCGGCTACTGCCACCCATGTGATGAAGCACAGATTCCGGAGCACCATGGACAAACCCTGTAGCGTTTGGCTCTCTCATGTCTTATCTCTGATTCCTTCCTCAGAGAGACGTTCCCTGGCCGCCTGGATAAAGAAGCCCCTCCCTCCCTCCTTGCCAGCAGCCATTTCTCTTCTTACTCATTTTAAATGACTTTTGTCTTAGCACACATTATTGTCTGAAACTTCTCCCCAGCTAGAACGTAAGTTCCATGCCAGCAGGAACTGAGTTTGTCTTTCCGAGCCCTGCAGCGTCTCTCCAGGAATAGTGCCTAGCTAATAACAGGAGTTCAGTAACAACTTGTTCAGGATTTAGCCATGCTGCGGTAGAACTGTTGTTCCTCACGCCTTGTCCTGCCACTAGATTGGGAGCTCCTGAAGAGCAGAGACCCTGTTCCAGCAATAATATCTCGTCACCAAATGAATAATTAGTAATAAATTCTGTGTTCTGAAAAATGATACACACTTCCAGAGCAGTCAGAACAAACACATAGAGCAATCTATTACGGCAGTTCACTTACTTTGTGACTCCAGTCAAGTCACTTAGGTTCTTTCCGGACTTCAGTTTTCTTATCTGCAAAATAAAATGTCTGGACCATATCAGCAGTTCCTCAATGTTAGAATGACAGAATCAGAATTTCTGAGGTTTAAGTCAGGGTATTTGTAATTTTTAAAAAAGCTGTCTGACTTCTAAATCATAACACTAGATGATTGCTAAGATCATCCCAGCTCTACAGTCCTGCAATTTACGTCTACATGTCCAAGCCTATAGCAAATTAGTTACCATGACACCCAGCAGTCTCCAGCCCTCAGAATTTCCACCAACCTTGAGATGACAGCTACTACCTACTGATGCACCCACCCACCGACTGGCCTCAGACCTCCGGCTGCCTGAGGCTGCAGCTTTCACTCTGGGACAGTGTTTCTCAAATTATCTTGATTATGAGAATCACCTGAAACACTTATTCCAAATGCAGATTTTTAGGCTCCCCGAGGTCTTATTAAATCAGATTCTCAAAGAGAAGAACAATGGAACCTACGTTATAAACAAGTATCAGGGCCACCACTCTCAACCAGGAGATATCTTTGGAAAGCTCTGCTCAGTGAAAAGCATAGAGCTTGGGGAGTTGGGTCAGTGCTGAGTTACAGTAGCTGTTGCCAGCATTGTGGGCAACTGATCAACAGGAGCCAAAGCCCATTCTGGAAGTCCCGTTTATGTGGGACAACACACCCACACTGTGTAGCTTGTTTGTTAATATCTACCTTTTAAAGGCCATCTAATGTTTAAGTGATGTTTTCCATGCTGCCATCGCTAAAATGCTTCACTGAATTGGAAGAATCTATACAAATGCAGAGTACATCATTTATTGAGCACTGGGCAACTTAAGCTAAAGCAAGCTTCAGACTCTGCTTATGGGAATAAAATAATGTGGCTCTCATTTACTTTCTGTAAAGGGAAGAGGGGTGCTGTCCTTCTAGTATTGCAAATGGACAACCAAGACTCATATTGCTTGGAATAGCGGTGCCCATTCTCAATGATAATCACATACCTGGTGAGTATTAGAAGGGGGTTTCATATCCAGGTGTAGAGGGTCTCAAAGCTTCTGATTTCCTCATCACCATACACCGTCCTTCACAAAAGGAATTGAGAGCCCAGCAGCACTGAGAGAATCTACAGAATCTCTTCTTCAGTTATTTTCCAGATGTGAATCACATATCTTTCCTCAGAGGATGAAGATTTCTTTTTCAGGTGGTCGGGGCTACACCTTCAACTGTCTCTGGGAGAAACAACGAACTAAACTTTTCACACAAAAGTCTGTGGTGGGAAACAAGGAAGAGAGAGGAAAGCACTGGAGAAAGCAGTGCCAACAGGGATACAGGGATCAGAGGCCCAGGGAGACAAAGGTCACCATCAAAGGCAGATGTAATCCACTTTACACAGAGAACATCTGTAGACAGAGATTTGGTTTCGTGTAATAGTAACAATATTTAATTCAACTAATATCATTACGATTCTCACATGCTCCAAAGTAGCTTTTTACCCTATAGCCTAGGGATAACAGAAAATGGAGCTTAGTGCCTGCCATCAAAGATGTTACAGTTAAGTTCAAATGGCCATTCAAACTTGACAAACATCTTGAATCTCTCTGCTCTTAGCCCTTCCTGTAAAATGCTCGAAGCACATTAGACAGGTTTATTTTATAGCCACCAGCTTTTTTAAGTGAAGACTCCATATATATGGAGAGGTGAATTTTGTTAGTAAATAACCCATTTGTTATTCTAAAATGTTTCTTGAAAAGTAATTGTGTTAGCAACTCATTCTTAAAATTATTTAAGCTCTTTTCCCAACTTATATTTTCTAGTTAGGAAATCTAGTGGAAAAACAAAAACAAAAACAAAAAATGTACTACTCTCTTACCTTTATTTCCTGGTCTTAAGACATAAAAAAAGAGGAAGGAACTTCAAGTCCTTATTTCAGTGACTGCCAGCTTTGTATCTGAAGAAAAACATGTGAGAATATCCATTTTCAAAGGGTTCGACTATATTTCTTCCTATCCAGAGAGATACCTAGAGAAGACCCAGCAGCCATGTAACTCACACAGTTTAAAAACAATGAGTTATAACTGGATGAAAAAGGAAAACCTTATTTTTTAAATGGCCATTGACATTGTGAAATGGATGGTCAGACAGAGGAAAGTCAAATAAACTACCTCTATCAGTAGGAAATGCTCTGAGGAAGAAGCGCCTAAACTCTTCTCTCACCAGCCTCCTTGATGAGATAAAGTTTGTGGTTGGGTTTAGTTGAGAGAGTGAGTAAGCTGGGTTCCTTTACAGGAATTTCCTGTAAAGAATATTAACTCTCAACTCAATTTCTCAACTGTGGGTTTTGTTTTTATTCTTGTAAAACTAACCTCCAAAAGTGTAACCTTTGAGAGAAACACTAAAGCCTGTCTTGTGGTTAACTTTTTTTTTGTTTTTTTGTGTGTGTGGTTAACTTTTCAATTTTGAGAAAGAAAAAATAGCTCTCCAACACCAATTTCATAAAGCAGTAATTTATTAATACACAATGGAAAATACATTTAAGGTCTAAAGTTACTTGGGTTGGTTTTTTTGTACCTATTAAGAGACAGTTTGAGAATATAACATATAATTGAAAACTCCATTGTTCCTTTAATAGAGCAACTGAAACCATTTAATACTTAGAACACTCTGAGACTACAATAGTCGTAATGAGTTTTGTCTAGGAACTTCCTTGGTTAAGTCTAGATAACATCCTTCATCAAGAGTTTAGTATTCTAATAAAGGTAAGGCTGGCACAGCTAAGCACATCAAAGCTCCAGGCTGCTTCTACACATATCTGGAGAATAACACGAAATACAAATGAAAACTACTTTTTTTACTTCGGTATGAAAGCAAAATAAGTGTTTACTTGAAATGAAGGTAGGAAAATACAAGAAGAATTAGTAACTGTAGACAGAAAGGAGTTCCAAAAATGTATCTACCACTGGTCATGCATCTACCTAAGATTCCAAGAGGATGTGAGGGTTTGTTCCAAGCCTATGCCAAGAGCGGTAACAAGGAGCAGTGACACAGACACGCCAGGCACATGATGCTGCAGGCTTACAGCGTCATGTGGCAATAGCCCCAGTGATAAGAACAAGGGCAGGAGACCCCAGAAGTCTTGGAGAAATAAGGTTGAATGGAAGAAAAAGTCTAATAATAAGGTGTTGTTTATGGTAAGTGTTCAATACCTGTTGAATGGAACTGTATTCAAGTGAATTGGGTTATGGAAGTTGTCCTTGCGAAGTTTCAGAGACCTGGATGCAGACCTCGAAACTGAATCTAAAGTTATTATATTCGGCTGTGCTTGCATTGCTATAAAGAAATACCCAAGACTGAGCAATTTCTAAGAAAAGTGGTTTAATTGGCTTATAGTTCTGCAAGCTGTACGGAAAGCAGAGTGGCATCTGTTCCTGGGGAAGCCTCCAGAAGCTTCCAATCATGACAGAAGGCGAAAGGTGAGCAGTCACATCACACAGTGAAAGCAGACGCAAGGCAGGGGTTAGTAACAAAAATGTTAATGTAATATGCAAATGTCCCTCCTTGTCTAGTGATTCACATATATAGGGAGTAAAGGACTGTAATTAGTATATTAGGTCCTATAAGCAAAACAGTGATGTTTGATCAGGATAATGAAGCCATAGTCACAAAGATTTCTCCTACTAGATTAATGGTAGGGGGTAAGACAAAGTTAGTGAGATTTGCTAGAAGTCATTAAGAAGCTATTAGTGAAAGCGGTGTTTGAAGACCTCAGGTAAGTAATATGATTCGGCTATGGACTTGGCTCATAGTTCAAATTTGCTAGGCAGAAAAATAAGGATGAAGTGAGTCCATGAGCAATTATAAGGGTGCCTGCACCTACAAGGCTTCAAGGGGTTTGAATGAGAACAGCCATGACGACAAGTGCTATGTGGCTTATGGAGGAATAGGCAATAAGCGATTTTAGATCAGTTTGTTGTAGACTATTAGAGCTTGTCATAGCTATCCCTCACAGGAATAGTATGAGGAAGGGGTAGGCTATATGTTCTGTTAGGAGGTTGAGGATAAGGATAAGCCCTGAACCATAGCTACTTAGCTTTAGGAGTATCTCCGCGAGTACTACGGAGCCAGCAATAGGGGCTTCTACGTGGAAGTCACAGGTGAAGTCTATATAGAGGTATTTTTACTATAAAAACCATATACATGCTAGTCATATAAGATTATTGGATCAAGAGGCTAATAGCTTTTGGGTGGTAAGTATCATTACTAGCATATTTAGTGAACCTGAGGTATTCTGAGTATAAACATGTATAACAAGTAGAGGAAGGGACCCTACTAGTGTATAAAATAAGAAATATGAGCTTGCATTGAGGCGTTCTAGTTGGTTATCTCAGCAGGTGGTGATAATTAGGGTAGGAATTCATTTCGATTCAAAGAGGATATAAAATATAATTAGTTCTGTGGCTGTCAATGCCATAATTTGAAAAATCTGCAGGGAAATCAATATAGAGCTATAGAGCTTTTTTCTTGGGGTTGATTCATTGGACATTTGACATTGGCTTGCTAGAATTATAAGAGGTAGTAGTCAGGCTGTTAAGATTAGGAAGGATGATGTCAGCAGGTCAGAAGAGAAGATTGATGAGAAGTTGGATGAGCTATTGTTGAATCGGTTAAAAAATAATAGGATAATGAGGCTGATGAGTAGGCTGTGGGTAGTCATTGATTCAGATTATATAATTTTTAGAGAATCATGTCATTAGTACAGCATAATTGTTGGAATAGTAATTTTTGGCATTGAAGTAAATTTAGATTTTGTACATAAACTAGGCCGTATGTGTTGGAGATTGAAACTAGTAAGGCGGTTTCACAAGCAGCAAATACTAGGAGAATGATGGGTATTATGGATGCTAGAGTGACATGTTTGTTTCAAGTTATGAGTATTTATGATAAATATTAATACTATTTTGCCTTCTATGCATAATAGGGATAGTAGGTGGGATCGATAGACTAATACTCCCAGTAGTGACATGGTGTATGCTAGCATAATATTGATATCAATAGAGGGCATTTAGTAAATATGGTCTATCATAATGAGTTGAAATTATTTATTTTGACTTAAACTATTTACCAACTCAACTCAGCGTAATCCTTTTTGGGCTCATTCATAAGTCAAGCCTAGGATTAAAATGGTAACTAATATAAGGGCTGTGCTGATTATTAGTGTCAGCTTCTTTGAAGGGCTGTTTCTAATCCAAGAAACATACACATTCCATCTTCTACATGCAAGATATTTTGCTGGACGACTTAAAAACAAGCTGAGGCATAATTAATGTAAGAAAAGCCTGGGGATTACAATGCTGGACCATAGATTCAGGTTGTTCTGAATATATACTCTGATTAGCAGCAGTTACAGGTAGATGTTTAAAGGAAAAGAAGAGACAGTTTCTAAGTCATTTAGCAAGAATTACATTTAAATAACATAAGCTATTGATTGGCCCTCCATTGTTATCTGTCTCACAAAGTTCAAGAACGTGAAGATAACGAGTTAGGTAGCTAGTCAGAAACAAAATGACTAAACAATTGCTCTAGGCATGAGTGCAGTGGGGGGGGGGAGCATGACTAAAGTCACATACTTATATCTCTCTGGGCCTAATAAATTCTGCACACCTCAGATAGCTTATACTACACCGAGCTATTTTTCTTCTCTCTTTTCTCCCCACTTTGATCAAAAATCTTCCCACAGAAGCATTGTTGATCAGTCTCTGCTTAACTTAGAATGATAGGCATCCTTCATCCCCTGTCACTGGAAAGGCTCATTCCTAGATAGATCCCAGTTAAGTCACTGATTTATATAACTGCCATTGCTTGTTGAATTATCTCTAGTTTTTGAAATTTTATGCTTTTGGATTTCTTGGAAGAAGTACAGCAATGGGAAATATGTGGTGAAACCTATTCCATTGGGGATTCAATCCAAAGTTTAGGAAAATAATAAAAACTCAAAAACTATGATTGGTTAGGGCTGCGACCTAACAACAGGTATGTTATAATCTTCCTTGAAGACATATTTTTTCTCTCTCCAGCTTCCCATTTTTACCAAAGATAAATCTTACTGGGACCAATTTACTCATAAAATAAGTTATAGTATTATACTTGGTCTGATTATTTGCATAAAGTGCAACAAGAATCATGATTAGACATATAGGCTGTTTTAAGTTGGCTTTGCTGGAACTTTCATAGGGAATTTTGGATTACACTTTTAAAATATATATATATATATACATATATATTTCATTGCACTTTAGGTTCTAGGGTACACGTGCAGAACATGCAGGATTGCTGCATAGGTACATACATGGCAATGTGGTTTGCTGCCTCCATCCCCCTGTCCCTTATATCTGGCATTTCTCCCTAAGTTATCCCTACCCCCCACTGTCCTTCCCCTAGTCTCCCCCAACAGACCCCAGTGTGTGATGCTCCACTCCCTGTGTTCATCTGTTCTCATTGTTCAACAATGAGTGAGAACATGTGGTATTTGATTTTTCTGTTCTTATGTCAGTTTGCTGAAAATGATGGTTTCCAGATTCATCCATGTCCCTACAAAGGATACAAACTCATAGTTTTTTATGCCTGCATAGTATTCTATGGTGCATATGTGCCACATTTTCCTTGTCCAGTTTATCATCGATGGGCATTTGGGTTGGTTCCAGGTCTTTGCTATTGTAAACAGTGCCACAGTGAACAGACGTGTGCATGTGTCTGTAATAGAGCAATTTATAATCCTTTGGATATATACCTAATAATGGGATTACTGGGTCAAATGGAATTTCTATTTCTAGGTCCTTGAGGAATCGCCACACTGTCTTCCACAATGGTTGAACTACTTTACACTCCCACCAACAGTGTAAAAGTGTTCCTATTTCTCCACATCCTCTCCAGCATCTGTTGTCTCCAGATTTTTTTAATGATTGCCATTCTAACTGGCGTGAGATGGTATCTCAATGTGGTTTTGATTTGCATTTCTCTAATGACCAGTGATGATGAGCTTTTTTTTTAATGTTTGTTGGCCCCATATATGTCTTCTTTTGAAGTGTCTGTTCATATCCTTTGCCCACTTTTGAATGGGTCTGTTTGTTCTTCTCTTGTAAATCTGTTTTAGTTCTTTGTAGATTCTGGATATTAGCCCTTTGTCAGATGGGTAGATTGCAAAAATTTTTTCCCATTCTGTTG